TCCCTGGGAAGGGTTTTTCTGCTCATCCCAGGCTCTCTGACAGACATCTCCAGCCCTGCAGAGCTCTTTGGCTGTGTGGGACAGGAGAGCAGCCGTGTGTCAGCTCTGTCCCTGTCCCAGCCCTGCCAGCACAGCTCTGGGATTGATTCCAGTCTATGCTCATCGGTTAATGGAGCTGAGCCAGGGCTTTATTCTCCTTCCATCATGGAAATGGGAAGCTCATCATGAGGAGAGTGTTCATTTGCTCGCTCTGACCTTTCCCATGCACTGGTTGTCCTTTCTGCTCTGTCAGGACCGTCCTGCCCTCCCTGTGTGCCCAAAGGTGATCCTGCTCTCATGTCAGACTTTCCCAGTGGCTGTGGGATGCCAACCCCACACCATATTCCCATGGGATATTGTCTCTCTCGAGACTCCAGCTCATCCTGGCACCTCACCCAGCTCCTGCTGCTCCTGGCCATGCCCAAACCACACTCTGGCATCTGGAGCTCTGGTCCTTCCCCCCAGGAAGTTTTCCTGTCCCAGCCTGGCCCTTTCCCTGTGCCAGCTCCTCATCCCAGCCGAGTGCCCCAGGGCTCTCCCAGCACCCCACAAGGCAGGCTCCTTGTGGCAGGAGTCCCCATGGGCACCGGCATCCTGTGCCATCCTGTGCCATCCTGTGCCATCCTGTGCTCCTGCCCTGGTTCCTGCTCGAGTGTCCCCAGGTGACCCTGGTGCCAAGGCCATCGTGTCCCTGTGTGTGCTGCCCCACACGTGGCATGTGGGCTCCGTAGGGCAGGAGCCAGGGCTGGGGCTGAGCCACGCACCAGGGCCACTCTGCTCCTCTTGGGGCACAGGGGGGTCTCGTGTCCCTCAGGTGTCACCAGCACTGCTCTGTGCCCACGCTGGCACTGCCCCTGTCACACGCCCTGCAATCCACGGCTGTGCGCAGCTGTGTGCCCTGAACCCTGCCCTCTGCACCCAGCTAACCCGGTGCACCCTGCCCTGCTCCCAGCCTGCAGCCTGGGCGGGCCGAGCTGTGCTGGGCCGTGCCACACCGTGCCGAGCTGTGCTGGGCCGAGCTATGCTGGGCCGTGCCACACCGCGCTGAGCTCAGTGCCATGCCAAGCCATGCCATCAGTACCGAGCTGTCCTGTACTGTTCTGAGCTATACTGTGCTGAGCTGTGCCATGGCACTGAGCTCTGATGTGCCCTGCTGAGCCGTGCCGAGCCGAGCTGTGCCATGCTGAGCCATACCACACTGTACCACGCCACACTCTGCTGCCCCATCCCATTCTGTGCCAAGCTGTGCCAAACAATACCGAGCCATGTCACACCGTACCGAGCCGTGCTGCAACGTTCCGCGCCACACCGTGCCATGCCAGACCGTACCGAGCTCACCGCGCCGTGCCGAGCCGTGCCCCACCGTACAACATCGTTACTGTACGGTACCATCCCGAACCGCCCGTCCCGGTACGGCCCCACGCCGCGCCGTCCCGAGCCGCCCGGTGTCCCCCGGCGCCGATTCAGCCCCTCCCAGCGGGCGCTTGCGGCGGGGCCGGTGCCGGTGCCGGTGTCGGTGCCGGTGCGGGGGGCGTGGTCTCGCTCAGCGCCCCGCCCCTCCCCTCCGTGGCCCCGCCCCCGCCGCGCGCCCCACGGTGCGGATGGGGAGCGGGGGTGGGCGTGGCTTTGCCGGGGCGTGGCCCCGCGAGGCCCCGCCCCGTCTCCCCCGCCCGGCGCGCCCCGCCCGCGCTCGGCGGTGCGGGATGGGGCGATGGCGCGGGCGGGCGCGGGGCCGCCGCGGGAGCTGTCCCTGGAGGAGGTGCTGAAGTGCTACGAGCAGCCGCTGAACGAGGAGCAGGCCTGGGCGCTCTGCTTCCAGGGCTGCCGCGCCGCCGCCGCCGCCCCCGTGGCCCCCGCGCCGCTCCGCACCGCCGACATCCGCCTCCGCGCCGACGGCTCCCTCCGCCTGCCCGCCCCGCCGCACGGTGAGGGCCGCCGCCGCCGGGGGGGGCGGGAGCGGGCGGCGCCCGAGCGGGGGGGGGGACGGGACGGCACCGCCGAGCGGGGCTTACCGGGTTTTACCGCGGTTTACCGGGGCGTACGGGCATCAGGACTTGCTGGGGCTTACCGGGGGACACCGGGGCTTACGGGCAGCGGGAGCGGGGCACCGGGGTTTGGCGGCAATGGGAATTATCGGCACCGCGGGAGCGGAGCGCCGGGGTTTACCAATGTTTAGCGGGGCTTACCGGCAGCGACACCCGGGACACCGGGACGTACTGGCACTGGGGCTTATCGCAGCTTACCGACGCTGGGAGCGGGGCACCGGGGCTTACCGGCACCGAAAGAGAGGCACCGGGAGCGGGGCACCGGAGATTACCGGCACTGGGATCCGGAACCGGGGCTTTCCTGCTCCGGAGCTTAGCAGCACAAGGAACGGGGAACAGGGACTTACCGGCACGGGGGCATCAGAGCTTACCGGCACCAGAGCTAACTAGCACCGGGATCCGGGATATCGGGACTTACCGGCACCGGGGCTTGCTGGTGCAAGGAGGGAGGCGCTGGCATTTACCCGCACCGGTGCTTGCTGGCACCGGGATTTCTCGGCACCGGGACCCGGGGCACCGGGACTTACCAGCACAAAGAGCGGGGACCTGGGACTTACCGGCACCGGGACTTACCGGCACCGGGACTTACCGGCACCGGCAGGGGGTGCTGCACCGGCGTCGGGGACGTGGAGGGACCGAGGGTACCGGCAGCGGGGGGCACCCGCAGAGGCCCCGGCGGGGAAGAACCAGTACCGGAGCGGCAGATGGGCAGAAGTGGCACCGGAGAGGGGGGGCAAGCATCGAGGCACCGGCAGCAGGGAGCAGTGCAGGGAGGCACCGGAGAGACAGTGAGGACGGGGAAAAGGGCCGGTCCCGGCACCGGGGAGCAGGAAGGCGGCACCGGCAGGGACGGGGGTGAGCCCCAAGCCCCGGCCCCGCAAGGGGACTGACAGTAGCACTGCCGGTACCGGTGCAGGGGCTGCCCCGGGGAGGGGGTGGGCACTGCTGTCAGACTGGTGTGGCACTGCTCCCGGCACTGGCACCCACAAGGTCACTGGCGCCGGGTGACCCAGGGAGGCTGGAGCCAGGTGAGGGTGTTTGCGTGGTCCTGGCAGCCACCATGGGGCTGCAGGACACACAGCAAGGACAGATGGACGGACACATGGACACCCATACAGCACATCCACGGGCACCACAGGGACCTTGTCCCCCATGCAGGCCCCGGGAGTGGCACAGGGACAGCCCCATCCCCGACCTTTGCCCTCCCAGCCGTCCTCCCGCAGGTGGCTGCGCTGCCAGGTATGGCTGTGGCGGTTCCAGGTGTCACCGGGCTGGCTGCCAGCAGTGACACCGGGTGGCCACACAGCCACGGGGAGCACTTGGAGCGTGGCCAGCGCCTCCACCCCACAGCCAGGCCACCGGGGATGGCTCCTGGTGCCGTGGGGTCGCTGTGTGGCCTCGCCCACACTGGGCAGGGACACTGCGAGGTCACCGTGTGTCCTCGGTGCCGGGGGCTGAGCACACACCGGGGTGCATCAGGTGGCTCCGTGCCCAGGACAGGGACACGCACGGGCAGGGCACGTGCCCATGGCAGCCGGGCACGGCGTGGCCGCACCGGCTGCACTGGTCCTGCATGGGAATGGCCCCACGCCCTGCCCTGAGCCACCGCAGGGCTGGAGCCGGTGTCACCTGCCAGTGCCACCTGCCAGTGCCACTGTGCCACCTCCTGCTCCCGGGTTGCTTCTGTGCCAACCTGAGCCACCTCCCCAGGGATGAACCAGTGAAGTCTTCACAGTGAAGCCTGAGGCTGGGAGGGCTCCGGGTGCCTCTGGGTGCCACTGCAGGTGGTGGCACCAGCCTGGCACATGGCTTTGCAGCTCTGCCAGGGCACAGGGCTGGATCCGGGCTGGGTGAGCCAGCAGCACCCTCTGGAACAGCTCCAGCCCCCCATTCTATGGGAATTCCCCCTCAGCTCTGCCCCAGTGACTGGCAGGAGCTGCTGGGACTCACTGGGTGGCATCCCAGGGGCTGGTACTGCGGTAGGAGCCGGGCACAGTCCAGGACATGGTTTTTTGATGGGTTTGTTTGTGGTACCATGGCAGGGCCACCACTTGTGCTGCCTTTCCTGTCCATTCCTGGCTTGCACACGGCTGGCACACGACTGGCACATCCTGGTGGCTGCCGCATTGATCAGCTCAATGCAGAGCTAATGATGAGGGAAGCAGAGCCGGGAGCCCTGGGGACACTGCAGAGGCCACTTGTGTTCCTTTCCCTGCAGCTGCCAGGAGGGCTCAAGCTGCCCACAAGCGTGTCCTGGGCTCCCTGTGTGTGCCATGCTCCAGCTGTGGCTGCCAGTCCCCACGCTGCCATGCCTGTGCTGCTGGTGCCCACACTCCTGCTGTCCACACTGCCAGTGCCCACATCCCACAGGGGTGCAGGGGGCATCTCCTCATGCACACAGAGCTCTCAGCTCCCTCCAGCCCTGGTGATGAGGGGTATATGGGTGCTTGTGTCACCTCAGTGTGCCCTTTGGGAGGGCTGTGCCAGCCTGTCGATAGCAGGGCTCAACATGCAGTGCCCACTGTCCCTTGGAGCCGTGCCCTGGGACCAGGAGGGCACAGGATGAGCCAGGGAAGGAGGGAGGAGCGGGGGGGGGTGTGAGCAGCTCAGGGTGGAGTGGGTGGGTACCGCACCCCTGGGTGGTGCAGGGTGGGGTGCTCAGCACGGGGCCGTGCGGTGACTCTGCCCTCCTCCCCCAGACCTGCCCGCGCTGCTGACGCCCTCTGCCGAAGCCCAGGTACGTGGGGGCCGGTGACCTGCCCCGTCTGCCATCCCAGCCCGCTGTGGGCTGGGCACGGCCGCTTGCTCCCCTCACCCGGGGCTCACAGGTCCTGGGACGGGACCCAGCACCGAGGAGGGGCCGGGGACAGCTGTGCCAGCGTGCCTGCCGTCCCCTGCCGGTGCTGTCCCCCGCAGATGGTGCAGTCGTTGGGCTTTGCCGTGTACCGGGCGCTGGACTGGGGACTGGATGAGAACGAGGAGCGGGAGCTGAGCCCGCGCCTGGAGCAGCTCATCGACCTGATGACCAACAGCGACTCCGAGGACAGCGGCTGCGCCACGGCCGACGAGGGCTATGGGGGGCAGGATGAGGAGGAGGAGGGCGGCGAGGGGCAGCCTCGCTCCGTGCGCACCTTCGGCCAGGCCATGCGCTGCTGTGCCGCCCGCCTGGCCGACCCCGCCGGCGCCCCCGCGCACTACCAGGCTGTGTGCCGAGCCCTCTTCGCTGAGACCGTGGAGCTCATGGCCTTCCTCGCCAAGATCCGCGACGCCAAGGAGGTGAGCGTGGGTGCCCGCTGCCACCACGGCCCTGCCGAGGAAGCCGCCTGCAGCGACGAGGGGCTGGGGAGGCTGCAGTGCCCCCTCTGCCCATCCCAGCTAGGGCTGCTGATGCCGGTGTTTGGCCGTGCAGCCCCTCCCAGCCTGCTGTGCTGGCTGGGAATCAGGAATTGGGGTTCAGCTCAGGGCTGCAGCCCCGTGGCACAGTCCTGGCTGGACCTTCAGCACCACCAGGACAAGGTGACAGCATCTTGTGCCTCAACAGCTGCTGCAGAAGCTGAAGGAGGATGAGGAAGAGGAGGAGCGGCCGGCGGCGGAGCTGGGCAACCTGCGCAACACAGACTGGGTAGGGCAGCGTGGCCAGGCACGGGGCTGTGCCGGGCATGGGGGGGTGCTGACCCCGTGTCCGTGTGTCCCAGGAGGGTGTTGACACCATGTCTGTGTGTCCCCCCAGGCCCGGCTGTGGGTGCAGCTGATGCGGGAGCTGCGGCACGGTGTGAAGCTGAAGAAGGTGCAGGAGAAGCAGTTCAACCCTCTGCCCACCGAGTATCAGCTCACGCCCTTTGAGATGCTCATGCAGGACATCCGTGCCCGTAACTACAAACTCCGCAAGGTCATGGTGAGCGTGGCCGCCGTGCCAGCCCCTCACCCCCCATCCTGCCACTGTCCAGCCCAGCACTGACCCCCTGCCCTCCCCAGGTGGATGGAGACATCCCCCCCCGGGTGAAGAAAGATGCCCACGAGCTCATACTGGACTTCATCCGCTCCCGGCCCCCCCTGAAGCAGGTGAGTGCCAGCGCCGGGCCACCTCCCTGGCATGACAGTGTTGGTAGGTCCCGTGGGTGCCATCCCTGAGCCATGGCCACACCTGAGGTCCCATCTCTGCACCCCGCAGGCATCAGAGCGGCGGCTGCGGCCGCTGCCCCAGAAGCAGAGGACGCTCCACGAGAAGATCCTGGAGGAGATCAGGCAGGAGCGGAAGCTGCGGCCCGTGGAGCAGAAAGGTACCGATGTCCCCTGCCCGCTGTGCTGTGTCCCATGTGTGCCACCCCCACGGCGCTGAGCCCATCTCTCCTCAGGATACAGCTCCCTGCCCTGCATCCCCCACGCCTGCGCCGGCCGCCTGAGCTCCAGCTCCTGCCTCGAGCTGTCCCTGTGCCCGGCCAGCGCCGTCCCCGCGCGCCCGCGGCCTCGCGTCCTGCTCAAGGCACCCACCCTGGCCGAGATGGAGGAGATGAACCTCTCTGAGGCAAGGGAAACCCTGCAGAGGTGGGGACACACGGGGGTGCAGGGGTGCCCTCGGTGACACGGTGCCCATGGCCTTGCAGGATGAGGACTCTCCAGGCACGGAGGTGCCGCTGAAGCGGGATCGCTCCTTCTCGGAGCAGGACCTGGCACAGCTGCAGAGCCAGCTGGGGGGGGACCAGGCTGTGCCCCGGGACCCAGAGCCACTGCAGCCCGAGCCCCGGCCCCGCTCAGGTACTGCCGGGGGTCCCCATGTCCCTATCTCCGGGGCTCTGTGCCATGCCTGTCAGCAGTGGTGGCACCAGGCAACACATCCTTGCCACGGCCTCCCTGTCCCTCCCTGCAGGCTCTGTCCCTGCCAGCTGCCACCCGCTGCCAGATGGCCCAGCCCTGCCCCGGGCTGCCCTCGGCGCTGTGGAGGAGAGGCCAGAGGATGGATCCAGTGCTGCCCCCGCCAGCAGCTCCAAGCACCTCTGGCTGGTGGGTTCTGGGGACACCAGCTGGGAGCACTGGGGCTGGGGACACCAGGCAAGCATGACCGTGGGCACAGGGCAGCCTGGCACAAGGACATATGGTGGCTGGGGGTGTCCTTGTGCCAGGGATGCTCTGCCTATGCCAGGGATGCTCTGCCCATGTTTGGAGGCTCTGCCCTGGCACAGGAGTGCTCTGGACCGTGCCCTGTGCCACAGTGCAGTGTGACATCCCCCCTGTCCCACAGGAGTTCAGCCACCCCGTGGAGAGCCTGGCCCTGACAGTGGAGGAGATGATCAACGTGCGCAGGGTGCTGGTCAAGGCTGAGATGGAGAAGTTCCTGCAGAGCAAGGAGCTGTACAGCAGCCTGCGGAGGGGGAAGGTGGGAATGGGGACGGGGGCTGGAGGGACTGGGGGGCCCAACTACCCCCAGCTTACCCTGCTCTGCCCACAGGTCTGCTGCTGCTGCAGGGCCAAGTTTCCTCTCTTCTCCTGGCCCACGTCGTGTTTCTTCTGCAAGCGGTGAGCACTGTGCTGAACTGTGCCATGCTGTGCCAAACTGTGCCATGCTGTGCTGTGTCACGGGGCTGGGAGGGCGGCAGCAGGGTCCCCACAATGGGCCCTCTCACCCACCTCTCTCTGTGTTCCCAGGTCTGTCTGTAGCTCCTGCAGTCTAAAGGTAAGGGACAGGCTCTGGGCAGTGCCACTGTGTCCCTGTCTCTGCTCCTCACCCTGTCTCTCTCCTGACCCACCTTCTCCCTGTCTCTGCCCCATCCCACTCCACTCCTGTCCCACCTTGTCACTGTACCCATCTCTGAGCTATCCCCATCTCTGTGTGCCCTATCCCTATCCCAGCCCTGTCCTATCCCTATCCCGTCCCTGTCGCTGTCCCTGTCCCCGCCCTGACTCCCGCATTCCGCAGATGAAGATGCCTTCCAAGAAGCTGGCCCACATCCCCGTCTACGCGCTGGGCTTCGAGAGCCTGCCGGGCTCGCTGCTGCCCAAGGCGCCGCCGCTGCGCCGGAGGGAGCCCTTCCAGTGAGTCCCCGAGCCTTCCTCCCTCCTCCTCCTCCTCGTCCCCCTCCTCCTGCGGCGGGGGCTGACGGAGTGCCCTGTGCCGCAGCTCGCTCTCGGGGCCGTGCTGGCGCCGGGTGGAGGAGGAATTCCCCCACATCTACGCCCAGGGCTCGGTCCTGCGCGACGTCTGCTCGGACTGCGCCGGTTTCGTGACGGACGTGGTGAGCTCCAGCCGCCGCAGCGTGGCCGTGCTCAACGCCAGCGCTGCGAACCGGCGCCACGCCAAGGCGCGCTCCCTCTACAGCGACGCGTGGCTCCCGTGAAGGACGGGCCGGGAGCCCCGGTGACGGTCGCCGCGGGGGTGCCGGTCACCCCGGCCGGCACAGCCCCCCGATGTACATATATACATAGGATGGATACACACAGCTTCTATATTTATATACGTTATGGACCAAGGGGCGAAAGGACCCGTTCCCGCTGTCCCTGCCATCCCCTCGTGTCCCTGCCGCCAGCCCCCGAGGGGATGGATCCTGCCGTGGGACACCCGCAGCCCCCGGGAGGACGGATCCCGCTGCGGGGCGGCTCTTGGGGGATGGATCCTGCCGTGGGACACCCGCAGCCCCTGCGTTCCCCGCTTCTGTGCCAAGCCCTGGCTGTGCCGGGGTGCCCGGTGCCCTGGGCTGGCATGGCTGTTCTGTACGTCCCCTCCATAATAAACCTGCTGGGCTGCCCTGGGGCCGCGTGGCTGCTCCTGAGTGCACGGGGGAGCGGGGTAAGGGTGCTGCGGGCCGTGGGGGGATCGGGGCACTCCGTTTCAGCGCGCGCATCTCCCACCTCCATCCCTCTTCCCCCCCGGGCTGTGCCCACCCGTGACCCCGCACAGCACCGTGGGAACACCGCGTTCCCCACTCCCGAGCGCTCCCAGCCGCGGGCCCAGCCCAGCCCGTGCCCCGGTCCTCAGCCGTGTCCCGGGGCCGTGCCCGGTTCCTGTTCTCCGTTTCCTCGTGTCCCGGTTCCCGGTTCCCCGTTCCGGGACACATTTCACGCACGGAGCGCCACGGAGATCACGGCGCGCAGGGGGCGTGGCCTGCTTATCATCAGCCAATGGCTGTGCGCGGCGAGGGTGGGCGGGGCCGGCGCTGGGCGGGCGCGCAGGCGCAGTGCGGGCGCAGGCGCGCAGCGGGCGGGGGCGATGTCGCGCCGGGCCCTGAGGCGGCTGCGGGGGGAGCAGCGGGGCCAGGAGGGGCCGGGGCTGGGCGAGCTCGGCCTCGGCACCGACCCCGGCCCGGAGCGTGCCCGGGAAGGGGGACCGCCGCCAGCCCCCGGGAACCGGCCCCGCGGGCCGCCCCGCGCCGCCGTCAGCAACCGCTTCGAGCTGGTGAGGGGGGCCAAAGCCGGGAGGCCCCGGGGTGCAGCGATTGGGGACAGTGACTGCGGGGGCAGGGACTCGGGGGACAGTGGCTGGGGTGGCAGGGACTGGGAGGATAACTGGGGGGCAGTGACTGGGGGTGACAGCTGGGTGCGCAGCTGGGGACATTGCTGGGGACACTTACTTGGGGACAGCTGAGGTGACAGTCACTGGGGGTGGCTGGAGTGACAGTGAGCCGGGGGCAGAGGCTGACGGGCTTTGGGGGTCACTGGAGGGAGTAGGGGGGGTAGTGGCTGAGGGGGGCTCACAGTGGGGGTGGCAGAGGTGACAATGTGTATGGCAGTGGTTTGGGGTCAGTGATTGGGGTGGCAGTGATCGGTCTGGGTGGTGGGCAGCAGCTGGGACTGAACTGGGAGGAAATGGGAGAGAGGCCTGGGAGGCTGGGTTTGGATGCTGTCAGAGCTGGACTCGTGAAAATGTTTTTAGGACCATCCCTGCCACCTTCCCAGCACTGCAGGACCCCAGTGCTGGATGTCAGATGGGCCCTGCTGGGTCCTTGGGGTGACAGAGCCCAGTCCTGCTCTCCAGACACCTCCTCCAGCCCCAGCCATTCCCTGTCCCTCCCCGAGGCCTGGCTGTGTGAGCACAGGCAAGGCTGGGTTTGGAAGCTCCCCCAAGGGCAGAGCAGAGTCCGTGGTGTGGGGGGACAGACCATGGGGGTCCTGTGCTCCCCTCCACATGTGTGGGACTGTCCGGGCAGCCCCTGGGTGACACACTGGACACGAGGGGGGTCCAAACCTCCATCTGTGTGCAGGAGGAGCGTTGGAGCAGATCCCTGGGGAATGCTGTCCCTGCAGCTCGTCCCTGTGTTTGCAGATCCCAGCTGAGGAGTCGGAGGATGAGGCGGCGGCCGGAGAGGAGCGGCTGAGCGAGCAGGACCCGGCAGGAGGGAGCCCCGAGGGCAGCAGGGACAGGAGCCAGGAGGGGGCTGTGACCCCTTCAGAGACACACGGTGATGGACAGAGAGAGGGACAGGAGGCTGAGCAGCCAGACAGAACGGTAACTGCTGCCAGGGATGTGCACTTCAGCCTGGGAACTGACACCTGGGGAGGGTGGGCACGGTGGTGCTGGGGCTGGGTTCGTGTAGAGGATCCAGAGGGGTTCTCCAGCTGCAGAGAGGAGGCACCTGAGGAAGGTTGTGCTGTGTCCATGTGAGCACTGAGGTCAGGCCAGGGAGGAGTGGTCTCAAGGAGGCATTTGTTTTGGAGCAGGGGATGTGAGTAATTCAGGCAGTCAAGAATGTCACCTGAATACTGAACCTCTTCTTGCCCGTAATGATTTGTTGTCATTGGATATCAAGATTCCTCCTGTGGTCTGTATCAGCCCAGAAGTGTCTCCTTGCAGGATTTTGTAAGGAAAGGCTCATTTATTTAACAATTTCCCATGGCAAGGCCTGCCCAGATCTCACCAGAGAAGAGGGTTGGGAGGGCAAGGGGGGTTGGCCCCTGGTCTCACTTGTTTGCTGTGCGTTTGGGGTTTGTGTCCCTGCTTTGGGTGGCAGGGGAGCAAAGTCCACTCTCTGTGTGCATTCCAGCTGTGCCAGTGGCCTCTGCCAGCCCAGGGGCTGTGGGTGCTCTGGGCAGTGTGTCCCTGTGTGAGCAGTGGCTCCAGGGGTCCTGACCTGGTGAGTTGGCTGTGCCAGCACTGCAGGACACACCTGTGGCTGCTCCCAGAGCTCCAGGTAGGACATGGGAGCCCTGGGCAGGCAGCTGCTGCTGCTGGGTAGAGCCAGGACAAGGCTGGGAGCAGCCTGGTCTAGTCGAAGGTGTCCCTGCTTAGCCAGGGAATAAAAACTGGATAAACTTTGAGGTCACTTCCACCCCAAACCATTCCATGATGCTGTGATCCCTTGCTGAGTTACCTGCTAGACCCTGGAGATGTACTTGCTTGCCAGCTGTGCCAGTCAGGCTAGGGAATGCCCCCAGCATCCTGAGCTGGAGCAGCTGCATTTGTGGGGAGAGGAACTCTGGCACTGGGACCTTTGTCAGGTGTTGGTTTCTGTGGAAATGGGACTGAAATTGGGAACTGTCCTGCACCCTGGAAAAGCAGAAATGTAGCTTATCCTGGGCACTGAGAGAGGTTGAAGCATTTCCTCCACACCTGGCACAGCTAAACTTGTTTCTCTCCTGGTTTCGTAGCCTCAGACATTGATGTGAAAGTCAGCTGAGGTTTAACCCTTTGTTAATCTTTGGTGCTTTCCTCCATTTTCTCCATGTGTCTTGACTGCCACCCACTAACAAACACTAAAGGGTGAATTTTGGTTTCATTTAAGGACCCTCAGTGTGCTGATCCCTGTGGGAAATGCTCTTCTTCCCAGGGAGCTGGCACCCCTGGGAATGCTGACAGCCCTTCCTTTGTCTTTGCAGCTGGCAACGAGTAACAAGCCACGGAAGAAAAAAAAGAAAAGGAAAACCAAGAAAAATTCAGCAGGAGAGACTGTGGTATGTCTGTGTGTGTGTTCTGAGTCAGGGACGAGGCTGGTTCCTCCAGTGAGGCTGGCAAAGTGGGAATTCTGAGGTGGCTGTAGGAGAGATTCAAGGCAAAAAAAGCAGTTTCAAAATTTAAAGTTTAAGAAGCCTCTTTAGGATCACAGAATCCTGGAATAGTTTAGATTGGAAGGGACCCTAAAGCTCATCTCATTCCATCCCCCTCCATGGGTAGGGAAACCTTCCATCACACCAGCTTGCTCCAAGCCCTGTCCAACCTGTCCTGTCACTCTGTCCCCTGTCCAAAGTCCCTCTCCAGCTCTCTTGGAGCCCCTTTAGGCACTGAAAGGGGCTCTAAGGTGTCTCCAGAGCAGAGGGGCTCCAGCCCTTGGACTCATTCCAGGTCTCTGGACTCATTCCAGCAGCTCCTTCAATGCTGGGCACCCCAGAGCTGGAAGTAGCAGATGGATTGAAGTCCTTGATCTCCTTCGTTCAGTAGGAGTGGGGTTCAGGTGGGAGCTGGTTTTCTGGTGAGTTTGAGTCTGAACTGTCCACAGAATTACAGAATCCTCAAGGTTGGAAAAGACCTCCCAGATGGTGGAGTCCAACCTCCCTGTTCACTCCAGAGAGAGTCTTTGGTCAGCATCCTGAGCCACTGGATTCTGGAGGGAAGGGCTAAGCCATGACAGCAGGGCCAGCACCCAGCTGGCCACCTCCTCCCTGGGAATGCCACTCTGAGTTTCTGAGGTGGAGAACCCTCTTGGAGAGCTGTTTCCTTTCCCAATCCAGCAATACTGAGCAGCAGGGGGACATGTGCCAGCTGGAGGCTGGGGGGACACCCAGACCCAGGCAGTGAGGGATAATAAATACAGCCTCTGTTCCAGCACTTCCATGCAGAGCACATTATCCCTTTCCTGTGTACACTCCACGCACAGAGGCTAAATTTAGCTTGAAAAGGCAGCCTGGCAGTGCTGTTTGGGTGTCCTGAATGGAATTCTGTGTTCCACCCATGGACATCATGAGGAGGATGTGAAACAGGCACGTAAGAAATGTGTCACTTGTTGTTTGTTGGGGGAAAATGGAGGGAAATCAGGGTTAAAGTGTTGTATAACTGTTGGATGTGAGCAGCTGGATGGATTCCTGGGATGGTTGGAAAATGGGGAATGGGAGACTTGGATTAAAGTCATGTGAGTGTTTGAGACCTTGTCATGAGGCTCACAGCAGTACCTTGGTGTTTCCATGGACAGTAGAGGGTGAAGGCTGGTTATTTAAATATTTAAAATGTCTTTGGACAAGGGCCTGGAGTGTCAGGACAAGGGGAAATGTCTTCCTACTATCAGAGGGCAGGGTTAGATGGAATATGGGGAGGAAATTCTTCCATGTGAGCAGAGTGGTGATGCCCTGGCATCAGGGTGCCCAGAGCAGCTGTGGCTGCCCCTGGATCCCTGGCAGTGCCCAAGGCCAGGCTGGACAGGGCTTGAAGCACCTTGGACAGTGGAAGGTGTCCCTGCCCACGGGACATGAACGAGATGAGCTTTAAGGTCCCTTCCAACCTAAACCATTCTGGGTTCTCTGAAGAGCCACAGCCCCTGGCCCAGGGAGGCAGCTGGGTGTGATGTGTGCTGGGTGACCTGCAGGCTGCTGTGACTCAGCCTGTGACAGAGGCCTTGGCTTTGCCTTTCTGAAGGAAGACAACGAGCTGGAGGACATCGAGAGCCTTCTGGAGAGGATCGAGGACCCCAGGCTGGCCCCGCAGAGCCAGGGCGGGGTCAGCACCGACAGCCGGCCCCTGCTCTACGTGGAGCACAGGTACTGCTGCCTCCCAGCCGGCCCTGCCTCGGCCTGAGGGGCATCTGCTCCCTGAGGA